TTGATGTTAAGGTACTGTTTTAATTTAAAAGACCCATGGAAAAAAAAAATCCTTGGACACTTAAAAGTACGTGGGAAATTATAAGTGCTCAGATAATTCAGCCAAACAGAGGCCATGATTGGTCACATGGAAAGGGCTGTGTTTACTGCCAAATCATTACATACACAATAGAGGCTAAATTAATACTTGTGGAATAAGTGAACAGAGATAATACTGATGGCACCTCTTGTATAACACCAAATATTTTTATGATTTCACTGCTTTTGAAGCATGCATTTTGGCACCCCATCCAAACTGTTTTAACATAAACATTGACATTAACAACAAAAAAAGCTTTAGGAATTCTCTCTCAAGCAGAACAGTCCAAACAAGAAACGAGGGAGTCCAGAGTAGTGGTAACTCACCCTAGGCCACTGAACCTTGTCAATTTGTGGGCCCACACTAAGAAGCACAGGGCCAGCAAGAAGCTTTCAGAGGTGGGGAAAGCCATGCATTCCATCAGGGACTGGGTGTTCATTTAGTGGTATTTGCTTACACTTAGAATTTTTGATATTAACCTGTCACAGAATCACCTCAAAAATAAGGTACAGAATTACAGTATTGATACAAATATATTGTATGTATATGTGCATGATTAAAACAGCAGTCCTGTATAATTGTGCACATAAAAAGCCAACCTGAAATTGCCACTTTGTCAGGAAATGTCACTTTAAATGTCTAACATTATGCCTCAGGCTTTAGCACTCAGGAGACTTGACAGACTGTAACAGGAAGCAAATCCTATAAACAATGTTCTGTTTGGCCTCTATCATCAGATTCTGGCCTTCTGTTAATTATTGTGACAATGAAAGGGAAAGGACATTATCCAAAGTAAGAGGTTATAAATTTTATTCTGTTCTGCTATGTAATGACCTGGAGGGAATTGAGGAATTACCTTTTCAATTATTATTGTTTTCTCTCTAATTCTGCATTTTGACAATTTAAAGCTGACTGTATAGATTAGCTTGTATTATATATTCTAAAAGTACATCACATAACTTTGTTGATGTAAAACATTCTCATACAGATGAGTGAATATGCATTTAAAATGTAATGTGTTCTAAGATGGAAATTCAGATACACAACAAAGGTATATGAATGCAAGCAGCACATCCAAATGTACCATAGAACAGTGTCACTGTACAATTTGTACTTTCAAATTATCAATTGGGCTTGAGATTTGTGAAAACAGGCCAAGGAAAGCATCATCTGTATCTCAGCTGCATGTTTTCCTATCCTCTCTCATTTTTCCTGGTATAAACAAAGTTACTTACCTGTACATAGAAAAAGCAAATCTGAAGAGCAAAAATATATTAAAAATCACAAAGCAATAACAAAGAACCCTAGAGTGGGAGTTAGCAATCCTGTCTTTTCATTCAAACTTTGACTTCTAGAGTAATAGCAACAATAAAGGAGTAACAATAAATAAATAAAACTGATCTCATTTGGGCACTGTGTCAGGGATAGTGCTATGTATATACTACCATTTCTCTCCTGGGAACTCTGGAAGCTTCCATTCTTCCCAATCTTCCTTGTACTTACACTAAGGATCATATGCCGAATTCTGACCCATAAAACCTAGGCATAAGTGATGTAAGCCATTCCCAAATTGGTTTATAAATATATCCCACAAAATCCTCCAGCTCTCTCTTCCTGTGACACCCTGAGCATAGTGTATGTAGCTCAAGATACAGAAACAGCCTGGGTCTCTGTGCCACCACTTGTGTGAGAACCTGAGTAGGAACCACCCATCCTACTAAGACGATGGTGTGAGCAAGAAATAAACCTCATCTTATTAGGCCACTAAGATATTTAGGTTTGTTACCACAGCATAATAAATGAATAATACAAGGACTAAGTTAGAAATTAAAATTGACTTGTTTTATAAATCAATGTGCTATTCATCTATTATATAGGATACTACTGGTACCAGTGATGGAAAGTTTATAGAAGATTAACAGAAATTCTAAGGTTTTCGACATTATATCATTACATAAGCAATGTAAAGCCTTCCTGAAAGGTAGAATCCAGTCACTATAGACCAGCCACATACTTAAGATATTTGTATATGTATCTGAATTTAACAAATCCAGAAAATGAAAACATCGATGATCCATTTAACCAAGCATTTCAATTGAAACGACTAGGTGGTTGTGACCCCCATCACCTATGTTCATTACAATGAACTATAGTCAGTGACATTAAGTTTCTAGAAAGAGTGACCTCTGGCTCAAAGATGAAAATTCAAACCACTGTAGCGATTATCTCACTTTAAAATCAGACCTAAGAGAATTAATGGTAACCACTTTTTAAAAGCTCCTTTTAGGAGACCTCTGTCTTGGTTACAGACACTCAGTAAAGAACAACAAGATGCTAAGATTTTATGGATAATACATTCTTATATGCACCAATTTTGTCTAAAGTTCTATTTAGGTACTATTTATACAGAATTTGAAGAAAGGCCTACTAATGACCTAGGGGGGAAAATGTACTTAAGGTGCCATTTTTATGTGGTATCACATTTTCTTCATCAAACTGCCTAGTCAATCAAATAATTAGTTCCTTTAGAGACTTTTGAAGGGATATAAATTTAAGTCAATAAAAAGACTCCTTGATTAAATCCAACAGTACTACATCTAGTTAAATGCTTTTTATTGGATGAGTATTAGGTTTTACTTCACAAATATCACTGACAGGATTAAAAATATTTGTCATAGAATCAGAAGCCCAAAAATTAGTTCAAAGAGAGCTAAAATTATTCCTAAAATTTAATTTTTAAGTATAGCCTTCCAAAAATCAGATATGTACTTTAGAGCAATCTTGATATCTCTAGACATGCATAAATGAATTTAAACCTGTCAACGACCTACTTTAATGGACAAAATTACAGCCACCTTAAATACTCATAATTTACCTTTATGATGATGTTAAGTTGATAATTTTAGAATTCATAAATTAGAAATTATCGCAATAACTGCACTTAACAAAATTAATCACTTATATGTCCTAGAGGACAGCAAAGTATATACATCAACAGGAAATAAGTTTGTCTGTTCCTGAATGTCTTGCCATTGCTAAAAATTCATAATATTTTTTTTCATTCAGGTTAGAGGAAGCATAAGGAAATAAAAGCCAAGTCACTATAGTTAATTCTATAAACACCAACTATGCACATATATATTGAAACAAGTCAGCTTGACAAGTTTTCCTCAACAATAGCCTGCCTTCCACTCTGCCCTACCTCCTTGGAAAACAAAACACTACTTTTTTTCTAAATAAACACATTGATTTCTGGAACAAAACTGCATGTATCCATGAATGAACATTTGATCAAGTTTATGGATAATGTGAGACTTCAGGGAAACCTGCTTTAAAAAAAAACTGACATCTTTTGGGGTCCACCTTTTTGTTATTGGCCTTTTAGTCCTTCCAACCCCCAAATTTATGATGACTAGAGCCCCACTGACCATCATGGACCCCGACTTTCATGCACTAGGAAGGAAGAGCAGAAAAGTAATAGCTTGAGTGCTTAATAACAGCAGGAAATTACTGCACAACCACTGTAGTGCACATCCACACTACTTTTACATGAGACAGAAATCTATTTCTATCTCCCATAAGTCACTATTACTTTGGATTTTCTGCTATGGGCAACTAAAGTAATTTTAACTAATACAATCAATCAGTCAAGCCACTTTATTAATATAGCCAAAAACAATAAATTAATTGTCTAGTTAATGCGTCTGTTGTTTAACTTGATGAATTTATTCATATAGACTCCATTTTAACTTTTCTTTATCTTATCTAGTCAAATTTGTTTAAATACTAAAATGTCTAGCAAGAAAATCAGCACTATGTAAATTTATTTTAATAATGTTTACTTAACATATAATAAGAAACCTAGAAATGAAAATTTACTGGGAATCCAACTAATAAAATTCCCCCCTTATTCCCAAAAATACAAAAAAAATTACAATGAGAAATCCTGTAGATTTATATTTTCTGAAATAACTTATGGAAGAAGAAAATACTCTGCCATGTAATATTCACTGACATGTGATAATATGAAGAGCATTTTCTAGTTTAAACTGCTTTCTATTATTCTTATTTCTAACATTCTGTTTTTGAAAATCTATTGATTCTTATACAGAAACACTTCTTAAAATTTTAATTGCTAAATAAAATTACACTGAGACCTCCTGATGAAGGCCAGGGAGTTTTTTTAAAGCCTAAAGTTCAGTACAATCCTGTTTACTTCTACCATTACATGAAAAAAGAGAGCAAGAGGGCGAGGAGGAAGAGTAAGAAAGAAAAAAACCCTATGTCTATCTGGGTCCTAAATAAAAAAGACCCTATTCTATTGCATACTTTTCCCTCTCCTACTCTATTATATAGACTGGGGCTAGGAACTTTCATCTTTCAACCCAGAAATAAAAATAATAAGTAGTATAAGATTGTAGTATCAAAAATAAATTCTCAGTCCAGAAATCTCTCTCTTCCTCATCTCACTTTGATCTCTTTCTCCTTTAAACAGGCTAAAAGAAAAAGCAAAGTGTCAATACTAGTTTCTTTTTCATTTTTCACGTCAGCAAATGGCTGATATACTAAGTCCTCAGGCTACAGAGTCATAATTTTTTATAGTCAATATGATAAAAAAAAAAACAAGTCTCCAAATGTATTCAGAGCGACTCTGTCATCTGCGATATGTGTTCATTGCAATAGCTTATAGCTGCTGGAGCTTATGCCAAAGGTAGAAATACAAAGTGTAGCAAGAATAAAAGCAGTATTCCACATATTTTGAAGCCAGTTAAAATATTTCTGTTATAAATTATTTTCTAGAAGATTATCATTTTGTGATTGATGATTAGAACTAAATTAATTTTCTTTAAAGTATCACAGAACTTAAAATCTGTAGTTGGTATAGAAACAAAAATATATTTTAAGTGATGTTCAGGACTTACCACCTCCTCCTCCAAGAAGACTGGCATTTGCTGTTTAAAAGAAAAAAAAACATTAAATAATATATAAAGACATAATATGCCAGATAGTCTAATAAAAAGCTAATAATGATCATATCTCTTATAAACACACATACTTTCATATAAAGAAAGCCTTTATAACTGCTTGATAATGGCATGAGAATTAAAATATTATACTATTTTATCTCTTTTTTCTCTTCAAATAACTTTTTTATAATGTACTTTCTTCTAATAAAATGAAGTACATACTGTGATCCTTTTATTTTCCATTTTTTATCTAAATTAATCTTCTGGGTCTCCATTTTATCAAGCAAAGAACAATGTTATTTAGGCAATTTCAATGATTTCAAAGGACAATGTAACAGGAAAGTATAATAATTTTAATTAAATTAAACACTATCAAATAAACCTATCTCAAGACACTTTGCAGTAAGAACTCTTAAATGATAATAGATTTGTTACCTTTAGAATTAACATTTTATTTAAAGGAAACAAGTAAATTTTACTTTGTCAAGCAATGATGTGGCATTTCTTACCCAGTTATCCATTATGCTAGCACACATATCTATAAAAGCCAAACAATAAGAAAAGTATAAGATAATTCCATTTTTCCTTTTTATTGAGTTTATTTGGGTGACACTGGTTAACAAAATTATGCAGGTTTCAGGTGCACAATGTCACAACACATCATCTGTTCACTGTATTGTGTGTCCACCACCTCAAGTAGAGTCTCTGTCCATCACCATTTATCCCCCCATACCTCCTCCACCTCCATCATGCCCCTCCCCCCAGCAATCACCACACTTTCGTCCATGTCCATTACGGTTTTTCTTTTCTTCTTTCTTTCTTTTTTGTTCAATCACTCTACCCACCCTTCTCAGCCAAATTCCATTTGGATATTTTTTTCAAGATGTCAAGTCTTCAGAAAATTCCATGGCTGGCTTCTGCTGACATATTAAGCAACCTTATGCCTATGTTTATCTAGTCATTGTACCAATGAGAAAACAGAAGTCAATATACAGGCACTGAGCTTTATTCCAAGAAGTTCTTATATATCATAATCATCATCCGATGCCATTTAAAAAGAGAAAAAGAAAGAAAGAAAAAGAAATCTTGTAGCTATATAAAGCAAGTGTGTAGCAACCAGGGTTCCTCTCTTTGTGGAGACTCCTAAGCTACCAAAATATTAAAGAAGTCACTTAGGAAAAAGGAGTAGGGGGGCTGTAACTTGAATTTAGTATGCTGGTCACAAAGGACCAAGCATTTCCACAATTAAGAGAAGCTAATATCAGAGTGTTAATGATTTCATCTATAAAAATGGATCATTTTAAAAGCAAATGCCCATATTATTATTTCAATGAGGTTAAATACATGATGGCTTGTTAATTATTGGAACACTAAAGAGAATAAATGTCATGAAAGATACCTGGAGAGCAAATGCCTTTGAAGGTTTTTTCAGTATTAAATTCTAGAGCATCAAATCTTGTTTTGTATTATCTTCAAGTACAGGGCCATCTAATTTGCTACTCCTGCTTACTCTTGGTGCTTTTGCCACACATATGGACTAGAAATCCTATTATTTAACTATAAACAAAAGTCACTTTTGAGGTCTTAAATTCCCTGCCACCCTGTCACCTCAGGTCTCCAAACCCTTCTGACTCACAGTAAGAAAGTGTATAGTATTTACAGAGATGATATCTAGGACTTAATGTCCTGCCCCAAATAAAACTTTGTGACCATTTAATAGGTAATTTGTTGAAGCGGCACTAGAAAAAATGTTGCAAATTCTATTTGGTCTCACACCCCTTAGTACATAGAGAAATTTCATGATCAATCTGTTTTTTGGCTAATTCAAATGTTTTCTAAAATCCTAGCTACATGCATTTATAAAACTGTATGACATTTCTCATTCCTGCTGATTTTTTATATTTGACTGAGAACTACTTCCCTATGTATGGGTTTTCTAGATCCCTGAAACTCCACATGTTATTCTCCAATTTTCAAATATTCATTCATAAAGGAAAAGGTGTTTTCAATAACAAACAACAACAATCATAAATAGTAGCTTTTCACTCAAATTATCACATCCAGAAGCACAATATAGCCTCCTTTCACCCAATGTTTTGCTTGATGAAGGTGGAGGCTGACTGTTTTGAGAGCATAGCTGAAGGCCCACCTGCTTAATCAGGCACTTATTCAATAGATGTGGGTGGATGAGTAGGTATAGGTGTAGAAACTAGAAGTCCAGTCTGGAGAACCATCAAGTCAATTTATGTCAGATGTATGCTCATTTTAGATAAGCGTATATACTCACATATTAACATCAACATAGAACTATTTTATAAAACTGCAGCATTCAACACAATTTCAAGTGCATTATCACTCATGTAATAGAATCTTAATCTAAGTTGCTTAAATATATTCAAAGCAATACTAATAACTAATGGATAATGCTTTTTCTAAATAACCCATCAAATTTAAGTCTATTTTATAAATTTCTGTTTTTTTAAAATTAAAAATTAAATATTTTATTAGCAAAAATATCAAAGCAATTTTCATTTTTATTTTTTCAAGTACATTTGTCTCTGCCTACCCCCCACCACTTTCCCTTGCCCCCTCCCTCCTTCCAAAGCAATTTTCTTTAATAAAAGTGACATAAAAGTAGGCAAATAATAGCGAACCTTTATTAAGATTTCCAAGATTACATTCAAAAAGCAAACTATACAAAATATAACTGATTCTTAACATTTATTGGTCTGGTGGATTAATATTATTTCTTCTTTTTACAAAAGTTAAGTGACTTTTGTGTGTCTAAAATTAATAATCATTTAATTTCTACCTACTTATCTCCAATAAATTGAGGTACATCCCAATTACGTAGAAATCCCCTAAAGATAAGGTCTGATTTTAATAGTTTGTACTATATCTAATGAACCCTCAATACATGCTTCCTAATAATGATATAATTCATAAGTTTAGTTCAATCCCTTTTTAAAAATTTTATTAATTTTTTCAGAAAGAGAAAGGAGGGAGGGAGGGGAGAGAGGGAGAGAAACCTATGTTCTCCACTTCATTATGTTTTTTGTTGTTGTTGTTGTTGCTTCTTGTATGTGCTCTGACAAAGATGGAAACCAAAACCTTGGCAAATGGAATGACACCCTAACCAACCTACATGTCCAGCACCTCCAGTTTCTTTATTGACATGGAAGAAGGTTTTTTTGTTTGTTTGTTTGCTTGTTTGTTTTACTCAAGTGTGTGGAAAGAGCAAACTCTGGTCCTTTTTCTCCCTGTAAAATTAAGGGCTATTAAAGAAACTCAAAGTGTATTTGGAAATACTTAGTGATTAAAAATGTATGAAATATATTTGTCTATAAGTCCCTTGCTAGAGGAAATTTTGGACATGCCTTAAGTTATCCCTAGAGTTTAACAGAAAAGGAAAAAGAGAAAGAAAATAAAGAAAACTTAATGTTTATGATCACAATGCCACTGCTTCTAAAATAAGATTTTAAATGTTCTTCTCCTTGCCTGTTTACTAACACTACTCGTGTTCATATTCTCCTAAATAAAATGCCCCTTCTGTTACTAGAGGAGCTTGAGGAAAAAGTCATGCTACACTGGTGGTTTCAAAGATTGATTCAATGAGGAACTAAAATGAGCCATTATGAGTTAACAACTCTGTATTGCACTTTTTCCTCCACCCCTAATAACAACTGAAATGAGTCAACAGTTCCACTGCTTATAAAACAAGAACAACATTAAACATAAAATGGGAGAAACGGTTACCCAAATCTGACTTCAAAATGGCAAGTATGGAGAATGCATTTATAATACTCTAAGCAAAAGTTTAATTATTTAAAGTTTATGAACATTTGTTTTTTCCCATATGAACTCAATTTGGAAATTTTTAATTAAAATTATCAAATTTCTATGAGTTAATATTCATTTTGAAATTATGAAAATCAAAAAAATGAATACAATGTAGAAATCCTTTTCTTGTGAAAATTAGCCTAAATAAAAAGTGACTGTGGCAGTTACAATAGTCTCATTATTTGATGTTTGTCTCAAAGTACAAATAAGATATTATACTACCTTCTTCCTAAAAAAAAAAAACTCTTAAAGACCATCTGTGTATGTGGGGGTGAGTGTATCTTTTAAAGAATGCAATTATAGCTGTGGCTGGTGTGGCTCAATGGATTGGGCATCATCCTGCAAACTGAAAGGTCACCAGATCGATTACCAGTCAGGGCACAAGCTTGGGTTGTGGGCCAGGTCCCCAGCTGGATGTGTGTAGGAGGCAACCTATTAATGTTTCTCTTGTACATCAATGTCTCTCTCTCTCTCTTTCTCCCTCCTTTTCCTTTGCTCTAAAAAATAAATAAAATCTTTTTAAAGAATATAATTATTTGAGAAAGAAAAACAAAGTAGGAGGGATCACGATACCAGACATCAAACTCTACTACAAAGCCACTATACTCAAAAAATCTGGTACTGGCACAAGAACAGTCCCATGGACCAGTGGAACAGAATAGAAAGTCCAGAAATAAGCCCAGGTCTCTATGCATATTTGACAACAGGGGCAGAAGCATAAAATGGAGCAATAATAGCCTCTTCAACAAATCGTGTTGGGAGAGCTGGACGGCTACATGCAAAAAATTGGAATTGGATCATCAGCTGACACCATACACAAAAATAAGCTCAAGATGGATAAAAGACTTAAACATAAGTCACAACACCATAAAAGTCCTAGAGGAGAACATGGGCAGGAAACTCTCAGATATCCCACGCAGCAATTTTTTCACTGATATGTCTCCTAAAGCAAGGGACATAAAGGAAAGAATAAACAAGTGGGACCTCATGAAAAGAGGAAGCTTCTGCATGGCTAAAGAAAACATCAGCAAAATGAAAAGGGAGCCAACTGTATGGGAAAATATATTCGCTAATGATACATCAGATAGAGGTTTGATCTCCAAGATATATAAAGAACCCACTCGACTCCACTCCAAGAAGACAAA